AATTCCATAATTCCTTTAGGGAATGAAGTTCTGCAGTGGTGGTAAGGTTCCTGTGGGGGTGAGGGAGACCTTCTAGTTGATCTGCACTTGTGATTGGCCTCAGCTTTTAGAAATCACTAACAAGAACTTGACCAGATCAAGGCTGATATGTACCAATATAGTAATCACAGCAGGATGAAGCCAAACTCAAGATGGAATTGCATTCTGCTTTGTATTTTTAATGTTTCATTCAATTTTGAACCTGGTTTGATTTGGGTAAGTGCTTGTGTACTTTTAAGAGATGCTGAAAGGTGGAACGATTATGTCATCCGTGTTTGTTGTCAATACATCATGAGCCACTTTTCTAAAAGAATTTCATGCTGTCTTTAGTAAAATTACATCAGAAGTAAAAGCTATTAGTTTCCTAGTTTTAGGGTGTAGAGGACATCTTCAATAAACATGTAACATGCTGTAGTTAAAGCTACTAAGAAACTAAAACTACAGGTAACTATGAAGGCTCAGCTGGTGTCAACACTGCCAAAATAAAGCTAAGATCTAGTTATTTGCTCAGACATTTTAGCTTTATTAATTATAAATTATTTTGCTTTTCTCTTGGTTTAATGTTGCATTTTATTATATTTATTGGTTTTATTGATTGTACCTATCCTGATATTTATAGATATAGTAAAGCTCTAAAAATTTAAATAAAGAAAATGCACTTTCCTATAAATTTTTTTCCCATCTTTTTGGGAGTGGGGAGGGGAAACATCCGTTTCAATCTTTCACAGATATTACAATGAAGTAGAATTTCATCACCATACCTTTGAGGGAATTTTAAATACTGGATAGACAACAGCACACTGTCTGTGGCGTGAGATATCTAACAATAACACCTAATCCATAACTGTAGAGGCACCGATGGACTGATATGTCAGAATCAATTTCCCAGAGTACTTTATTCCACCTAAATGCATAAAAAAACCTTGACTAAATTAATGGATGGGCCAAAAGAAGGCATACCTGGTAAGATAAATGGAGACAGGAGCTGAAAATTACAGAAACTATGTTTGATAAAATCATGATAAGACATTCATGTATTTAAAACCTATAATACAAGCAATAATTTAAAAATATCTTTAATAATATAGAACAATATGATGCTGATTGTGTATGTGTGTGTGTGTGTGTATATATATGGAAAATAACAATAGTGAAATATAAGGAAAATAACAGTGAAAAGGGAAAGCTAAAAATACAAACTCAGCATCAAAGTAAAGTTGTTAACAATTACTCAAGTTGCATCTGAGATGTAACTGAAACAAAGATAGCCTCTGGAATTACAAAATAGAATACGATCATAAGAAAT